TAAAATTTATGACATTTGCCTGGACATAGCACTTTTACTCAAATGTCTATTAGTGCCAAGAGAATGAGAATAAAAAAGAGAAAAACTAACAAGAATGATGGATTTATTCCGTTGCAATATTGCACAGCCAGTATGGATAGTACGGATATATATCATAGTTAGCAATGTTACCATCATGTCTACAAAAGTGTCTCCAAATCGTGCCATAAGCTAAATGATTATTTCTTACCAGCTTACTTGCATGCACGCGACCAGCCTGACTGAAGCACTTTGCCGGTTGGTATCAGTTCCTGAATTTGCGTATTCATTTTCATAAAATTCTGGCTGGCACATGCTCCTCATAATCCTGTTCGCAATCTTTTTCGTAATCAAAAATATCATTTCGTTGTCAATGTCAATGTTGTGGAAAACGTTTCCATTGCTACTGCTGTTTGTTGGAAGAAGACATTTTGCATAAATTGACACTTTAGTGCATTTCGGGCGTAGCAAATGTTGGTTGCAATGTTTACTGTCAGCCATGCCACATTAAAGAATCATAAATGCCATGAGATTCATTTCGGAAGTCCTTCAGCTCATACGCTGCCTTGAGGACTATGCGAACAACAAAATTGACACATGTAAATGGCTTCTAGGAAAATGAAATTGAAATGGAATGCCTCTGATTCTGTGTAAAAAGTCAACTTTTAATGAATTTTTTGTTGCTGAGCTGCCAATAACTTTTGTATTTTATTTAAATACGAGTAGAATCGCAGCAATTATTTTGATTTCTGTGAGGATGCGAATGCACTCAACCGAAAAAGTTTACTTTAAGTACTGGCAGTGAAGTGTTTAATTTAGTGCGAGTTTCACTTTTTTATAGATAGTACCTATAAGGAGTCAGGCAAGAACGTGATACGTTTTTGGAAGGATTGAGTTTAGTTTAATACTTAACGTTTTGAGTTTTCCAATTGCAGAATAAGTTCTGTGTGTTGAGAACTACTTTTAATATTATTTTAGTAATAATATACTCCTCCCAATGACTTTATTTTTCCATCCATTTCTTCCGCTCGTATCCTGCAATGTTGTTTTTTGAAACTCATTATTCATTTCAGAGGTGAAGAAGGCAACTACTGAAAAACGCCATGTTTTCGCAAGTTAGCGCGCCTGAAAATGATTTATTTAATAAAATACTGAAGTGGTATCAAGTTCAGACTTAAGCTGCCACTTCAATGAAATCTTCAACATAATGAATTTGTTATTTGAAATTTTATGTTGACGTATATGTGTGTGGGACTTTTTTGATTAAATTTGAAATTGTTCAATTTATTTCATGCAATTTATTTTAATTTAAAAAATACAATATAATTTTATTAAAACAAAATTATTATTAAAAAATTATTTTTAAGAATATAACAGTCATATGGCAGAAATATATATCACAGAGCTGTTCAAAGCACGGCCCCTGGGTATTATGCGCCCCTTAGCTAATACAACACATTATTTTATTTTTGTGGTATACTAAATAAATGAATTATATTTTTTAAATAATTAATTTGTCAAGACTTTAGTATATATTTCTTTGTACAACTAGTAAAAAAAAAACTCGTATACAATCGTATTTTTCGTATGACAATAAATGAAATGTATTTCTTTCTGCGGTCCTCCAATCTCTTTAGTGATTTCTATTGGCCCACGATCTTCTCTGGTCTGGGCCTAGACTGTTAAGCTAATTATTCTTGTGCCTATTAAGGATTACGTGACTATTAAGGATTAAGAATTAGTAGTTTTGCAAATAGGTGTTGTTATTGGCATTTTAAAAAATTTGGAACGTACAGCTTTTTTTTTGACCCAAAATACCTAGGTGCTATAGATCAACTAACTTATTTGTACTTTGTAGAACACATTCTGTGTACTGTGATAGTCCTGCTAGACTCAGACTTTGGTACTGTCTATCCACTTATAACGGAATTAGACAATATCTCTCCAAAGGCAGTCGTCTTTGCAACTAAAGTTGGGTTTGTCACAATAACCCTCAAAAGTAGCAGTGATGTGGTGACAAGTTCCGAATCTGTTAAAAATCTAATCTAATCTAATATACAAGTACATTTATGTATCGCAGAAATATGGACCTGTAACATAATGGTCGCACATGATACATTTATTTCTATATCATGCGATGGTATTGACGTTATCACATAGTAATGAGCACTTGAAGTATTGGAGAGAAAAATTGTTCATAAAGTTTTCGATGCACTATGAAGACTGTCACATACCACGGGAATTATGTACTTTATTACGACATTAACACTGGTCAGTGAGAGAACATTCAAAAGGTCATTACCAAAGTCATGTAATGAACATAAAAGACAATGTTTAAAAGAAAAACATATTTGCAGTGGCAGGCGGAGGTAGATATTGTAGGCGAAGAAGATGATTTCAATAGAGTGATCACTTGAAAGGAGCACTAATCGCAATCCGTAAATGGGAGAACGCTGCTTCAGGTCCAAATTTGGCTACAGATTGTTACGACCACATACGTAAGGAAGCACTTTAATGATCATCCAAAATTGAATATATGCTCTAAATTATTTTTTTCATAAAATCAGCGACACATATATAAATAGAAGGGAATATAGATTAACTTACATTCGGAAATCGCTAAAATTGATTAATTCAATCAATTCTCTTACGCAATACCCATGACTGTTAGGTTTATATTTCGATGTACTTTACTGTCTTACGGACACAAATGTAATATACCTTTAGAGTCTCTGGTAATTATAAAATAAATGTATATAACTGTACATAAACGGATTTACATATTATTACTTTATATACGTTTTATAACACCTAACATATTCTTGCACTTATAAATATGCAATTAAATTATTTGTATGTAGTTTTGTGGATATAATTTTTTTTAATTGCATGTTTATAGGGGCAAAAAAATATATATCTGTTAAGCAATATTCTTTCTTTTTGTAGTATAAGATATGAGAAGGAGAAATCATTTTTACATAGATAACAAAAAAAAGTAATAAATAATTATATTAAAATAAATTTTTTGTCTTCTATTCCCAAATATTATTTGTTGAAAATCTAAAAGAATTATTTCAGTAAACCGTTATCTCTTTATTTTTTTTTCAAACATAAAATAAATAAAAACAATCTTATAAATCAAAATTGTACATACAACAATATTTAAGGTGGCAATGTAATTTTTCATATTGAATTATTTCACTTTGATACACTAAAAAATCTGATATTGTCAGCAGAAAACTTATTTTGGACGATTTATTTTTGTATCTTCATATTTTCATATTGTTTTTAGTACCAGACAAAAGTTGGCAGATACCTCATGGCTTTTTCAAATGAAAGGACAATATCCTTTTAAGCTTATTTAGGAGTTAAAAGCGAAGAAAATGATTTATTATTTACAAGACTATGCGAAATATTTAGTGCTGTAATATTTTTCACAATACGTATATTGCTTTATATATTTAGAGTGGTAAGTTTAGTTTTTGGTATTTTGGGGATGCGTTTGCATTTTATTGTTGTTTATAGTAGTAGAGAGAAAAAAAAAACTTTAAATATTAAACTTAAGTTAGTACTATATTGAATTGATTCTCTTTCTCGCTCCTACTCTCATCTCTCAGTGGGGCATAGGACCTGAATTGATTACTTGATATTTTTTTGTTAAGTACCAAAATAATTAAATTTGTTCCAACAAGTCCATCTGATTTCACTAGACTCTTACTGTTCTCTTATTCTTATTGTTTTAACCCATTGAGTATCTTTATATATGTTATCTTTTGTATTCAATTTTATTATTTGCTATGCATATTTTATATATAATTTCTGGTGAATTTAGAATGCTTTTAAAGTACGTACTGCCTACTAATTTTTTTTTCTACATGTATCTCACTTCGATTTATATTTTTTATATAAGCTTCTTTGATTGTCAAGTATAATTTTTATAAGTTGCTAGATAAAAATCATAAATATAGAGCCCTGAAACTATTTAAAAAAACCGACAGGCTTACCAACACCGTGTTATCAAATCTCAGAATAGTTACAGGATCCTCGGAGAGGTATGCGGATTTGAGGTCAGTTATTGCTTAGTCTGTTGAGAGAGGTTGTGTAGAAACGTCGCAGTTAAGAAAGAGTAAAAGTGCTCAAGTGCACTGACTCAACTAGTCTCAACATAATAATAGATACAGCAAGTAAATAATATATATTAGTAACAGATTTGGTTAAAGTTATTGGCACCAGACTTTAACTGAATAATTATTGTTTGAATTGAAGTTGTTTTTCGTATAAATAATAAAGTATTATTTTATAAAATTAATTCAATTCATTCGTCTTTAAAAAAATATATCCAAAAAGTCTGTAAATTGGATATTAGAAATTGTATATTAAGATTATATATTTTATGGAATTTTTAAAACGTTACCAATAATAGATTTTTATAACTTTAATGAGGACTAGGTTAACTAAGGATGAAAAGAGTCTCACTACTAATAACTGGACATGTAGACTATACAATATATTTATGAATATATATACTATTCTTAAAGAAAAAAAGGGGACTACACAATAATAAAAAAATGGATCGTACTGAAAAAATTCACATTCGTTATAGATTAGATTACCAGATGTATATGATCCAAAAATATAGCTTTTAAAGTAAAAAAGAAGAAAACATGGGTACGTATCATTGAAAAAAAAATATTGGATAAGTTTAATTGAAGGGTCTAGTAATAAAAAAGCGTTAATGTCGAAATTAGAAATGAGGAGAAACTTTGCTCCAATAAAACCAATATTCGATATATAATTGAATCTTATTTGGTATCAAATAAATTAGACTTAAATATGTATTATTTCAAAATTTTTAAATTATATTTTGCTAATTTAATATTAATTATTAATTATGTATAAACAAATATTTGGAATAGTAATTTTAAACTAAATTTATATAAAAAATTATTTTGAGTTAACTATAATTCATACTTAAAGGGTTTTATAAGGTACATTTCGGGAATCCTATATCATAGTTTGAAAAATGTATACTAGCATACGAGTATTATACGAGTATTATAATAATGTATACTTTATGCTTTATCTAATGGTTGCATAATTGTGTCATTCATTTAATGAAGAGATGTATTATTATCTATAATAATTAATTAATAATTAAAATGCTAATTTAAAACCGTTTTAATCTTTTACGTGCCAAATCTAATTGGTGTTCCTTTTTAGGAATAGCAGTTAGCAGATGCTCAAGTGAGTCATGCAAACGTCTCTTTAGTAAATTATTATCAGTTGAAATAACTGCACGAGATTTTAAAATTTTTTCGCGATGTAATTTCCTTACTGCATTCTGCAATTTATCAATTTCAGCTTCAAGTTTCACTTTTGCTGAAGGTACATCTTTCTTTCGTTTCACAAACTTTGAGTCTTCTTCATCAGTCATATTAGGCGTATTAGAATTTTCACTTTTCGGCGAAGACTCGTCGTCACTCGTTTTATAACTTAATTCGTTCGGTTCTTCAAGAAGAATTTTATAATTTACTTTAAAAGCTTCGATATCTTTGAGCAATATCTTTTTAAGTTCCGCTTCCCGTGCAAAAGCTTTTGGATGTTCCTGTATGGCAGATTTACGAAAACGATGTTTCCGTACATTTTTTAAACCTGGTGTCAATCCATGAGGAAATAAATAGTTATCAGGTTTACTCCCCTGTTTTGGTACGTATTCTTCTTCTGTGCACATTACCTAAAAAAATTGTGTTCAAAATAGATAAACTGAATAAGTATATAACTTGCCATTTGTGATATATTAGCGGTTTTGTATAATCCATAAGGTTCATAAATTTTTTCTGACTCCACTATTGTTGGCAGATCGACAACCCTTGCATGTAATGTTTTATCCCCATAGCTAAAGGTGCCACTGCGATCTTCATCGTCTATTGTCAGATATGATTCTATTTCTTTGCCTGAGTCGATAATATCGCTCATCTCCTTTGCATCTTTCTAATCAAAAAGATTAACTAATTTATTATTAATTTATTGACAATGTGCTTATTAAGTGCATTATTTTAGTAAAAAAAGGGAATTTAATATTGTAAATTCAATTCAAAAATATTATCAGATAGTCAAGTTTACTTCTGGTAAACGCAATAAAAAAGTTTCCTCAATCGGGTCAGTTTTTGGAGCCCATTCGTTACTTTCCAATTTTTTCTTAGCAGCTAAATCAAGTTTTTCCAATTCTTCTTTTAATATTTTAAGGAAATCATCCATTTTTTTTTGGCAAAAAAAAGTACTTTCTATACTTTTTAAAAGTAAGTAATACCCAAAGATGTTACCAGTTAAATGATTTTAAATTTAAATTTGATAGTATTAACAAAAAAATTATCTGGTAACACTGAAATCCAAGCTTTCTTTTATAAAATCAAATTAGAGTAGAAGTAGAGTGAAACTAGTAAAATAATAGAAAAATTTTCCAACCTGATCAATCCTGATTTGTCTTGGGAGGGTCAAATTGAATAGATAAGAAAAACATTGAAGATTCCCCTTCTCCTATTGGAAATGTTCCAAGGGGGTAATCCAGTAGAACACAAAGAAAGTATGTAATAAAGATGCATTCATCAACAACCTAATGAACTTGAATAAATCGTTAAAGAGAAGAGAATAAATCGTTAAATTCGTTAACTTCATACCACAAAGTATCGCATGAAAAATGGCTCTGCTAATTGCCAAATATCTTACCCCTATATGTTTGAATGAATATTAGTAGTATATTAAAAGCTTGAAAAGAGAAAGCTTTTGATATAGATTAAAACACTACAGAAATACTAGACATTCAACTCATAGCTCATTGACTGCAATTTGTATTCGTACAGATTTGAGAATAGATAGAACGATCCATGTGGATACAGATACGGTATAGATGACTGCAGAATTAAATATTGACAAAAATGACTTGACAAGGACGATTTGATACTGTGCTGTGGCTGTAGAGGTATATCAAAAGTGCCCATGACAAGTATTATAAAAAATATCGCTGTTACATATGATATAACGATGCTTTACATTATCTAGAACCAAATAAATGAATTGTGAGCTTTGTTACACTTTAACTTCATCGAGTTTGAAAGTATCTTCTAGTACGTTTTTAAGAATTTTGAGCATTTTGAGCGTTGGGTATCAGCGACATTATGTTGAGGTAATCAACATAATTAAGTTTTAAATGCAAAATGGTATACAATAGGGGTGTATACCATCAGGGGTGATATAGAGTTATGTGTGAATGGACTTGATGATGCTTTTATAAAAATCTTAGATTCTGCTTAAAAAAGCATATGATACACATTATAAGAGTAATTAGAAAATTAGGATAATGGGAACCTGGTTTTGTCTACTGCTTACGATAAGATAACAAGTCTCACTGACTTGAAGTAGAACTACCAAATAAGCGAGTCTTGGTTTATCTATAATACTGAGGAGAGACAGTGTAGTTTCACTGGGGAATCATATTCAGAAAACTTTAATTAAACAAATGGGATGACTTTTAAATTCTCTATTTTAAAATATTAATGAACATATTAGTAAACATATTTAATATAAATCTTTGAATTATAATTAAATTCCGATTCAGTGCTTTTTATAATGTTTATTTTTATAATACTTAAAGTCGTAGTACTTCTCTCCATTTATTTTATCTAACTCATTAGTTATACAAATATGTTAACTGCATTATTCTGGATGTTCTTATATATACTATAAATAAAATAAAATGTTCCAATTTCATGTTGTTACTCGTCTATCTAATTTAACTTATCGCCCATAAATATGCAATTTCACAATTGTATTATTTACATAATTTAAGCTTTAAGATTTAATTTTTACCCCGAAAGTATGCAATCTAAATTTTTGTAGAGAATTTATGTATACTAAAAATATGCAATGAATAATAAATGTAATATTGGGGGGAGAGAAGGGAAAAGATTTTAAAGTGATAATTGAAAATTTCATGACATTCGGTTAATTTTATTAACAATAAATTGCTAAATAATTTATTGTTGGAAAAGAGGTATTAACAATTTCTGTATTTGAGGTGGGGATTTTAATTAAGGTGGGGAGGAGGTAAAAAGTCTGTTTTCAGAAAAATCTAGTGCTTAATAAAAACAGTTGTTTTTAGTTTCATTAACAAAAATTTACTTAAAACTATCAGTAATTATTCTTTTTAATCAGTTTTCAAATTATAAATATCTAAAAGTATATGCTAAACAAATCGACAAAATTCAGTTTTCAACTTTGACAGGCAATTGGTTTGTAACAGAATTCTTATAAAATTTTGTTCTGAAAATTCCGAAGATACTGAAACTGATTTGCCTTTTTTCCTTAAATATTATTTTCAAAATGCATTCATGAGTGAAACTTAACAAATTAAATTCATATGCATCTACGCGTCCAAACATGTTGCGCATCCTTTGTAACTTCTTAACAAATTCAAAGAAGCAAACATTTTTTCCTTAATCATTTGAATTATATAACATTTGCCTTGACTTGGGTGAATAAGTTTTCGAAAGATGCGCCCAACAAAAGTTCAGCACTGCATAAACGACCGCACACAAATTGCCATTATTATTATGTTGTTGCACGTTGCACGTTGCATTAGTGTTGTTGTTGTTGCTTTTGTTGCTGGTTTTATTATTGTCATAATGCTGTGCAACTTAGTGTAGATGATTTTCCATAAAATCCACTTTAGGTAGACACGGTCTGGTGACTACAAAATAGTTTCTTCAAAATAATTTTTATTCAGTTTTTTATTATTTGTAAATATCTCCTTTTACGGATTTGCCATATTTGATTGCGGTAAAAACCGCATTGCGAAAAAACACTTCAAAATTTTATGTTCTTATTTTTTAAATAATATGAATTTAAATTATATTTTAAATATAAATTATAATTTAATTTTTTTATGGAAAAATATTTATAAATAAATTATGTTAAACAAATTTATTTAATTACAATAAATATTTCATGAAATTTGTATATTACTTGGTACATGTTAATTTGCCTGAAAGTATGCTGCATAATAAATTGTGTCATTATAATTGAATTGAATGCAGCATATTCAACAACTCAAATTAAGAACAAGTATGAAAACTTTTTATTTACTAAGTTTATAATAATTTAATTTAAAATTTATTACAGAGCATATTTCACTTTAAAGTTGGGAATAATTTTGGTAAAGGTTAACACGTTTGCCAGCTAGGCAGGCAGGGCGTATCTCTATGCATTTTACAAGCGCACCCATCAGAAATCACGTACTGCCGTGTGCGACAAACGTGATGCTTGCACATGCAGTAGAACATTGTCACCTGCAATAATTCATTTGTGAGAATATAAAATTTTGTTTCACAAAAACTCACAATACACAATTCAAAACTATAAAATCTGAGTGCTAAAAAACTTAAAAAAAAGAACAATTTTATGAAATTTGTTAACTGAAAAACTCACACAAGCAAATATAAATTGCAGTAATTAAATTTATTGCTTTTTAATTGTTTGTCACACTCAGCAAATGTAAATGCATAACAAATTCAATTATAAATTTAGCAAAAGTTAACAATAAATAATTTAGCTACAAACGTTATGGGTTAAATTGAAAGATATCACAAGGTGTTGGGAAGACCATAACAAAATTTTGATATTAAAAAAAATTTAATTGTGCAGAACTAATAAAGACTTAGCGCGGAATAAAGCAATTAATTATACAACAAAATCTCTTATATACATATTGTCTCTATTTCTTTTCCAATAACCGAAACTGCACATCATTATAACACGTTAAAAATATACCTACATCAGCGGTATAATGAACAGACCTTTCAATATTAGTCTTTTATTTATTATTACTTATTTATTATTAGTTCACAAACACCAATAAGAGGTAGTCCTCAGAAATTCTGCAGCTATGCATTGCTTTATCTAGTCTCTCCGTTCAATACTGAAATTATTATTTTTTATGTCGTAGTGGGCGAAAAATCCTTTACAGGACGTCTTTTTCCATCGTCCTTGCTTTCAGAATGACCCATAGTAAAGAGAGAATTAAAAAAAATACCTACATAGTAGTTATTAGAATCAACGTAAAGTCATCCCAATTGACGCGCAGTAAAAATTTATTTAAATTAAGAAAACCAGATAAAGGAAGAAGAGAGTTTATATAACGATTTTTTAATATAAATTACATTAAACTAAAGTTTCTGGAACAAACCTACTTTGAATGACATTATCCTATATACTCACAAACTATTAAACACAATGAAAATTATTATTTTTTGTGTGTTCATAATATAACAAAATTTCAAGTAAGTGAGAATTATAAAACTTACTAACGATATAAATGTCAAGTTTTTAAAATTATGTGTGATTAATTTTTTGTGAGTAATGAATTTACACGATTTTGTGAAGAAAGCCATGGGTTTTGTAGGGAGACAAAATAGTATGACTATATAAGTTCAAATTAACTGAAATTCATAAAGACCTATTCCATAAACACTTTGAGGGATAAATATAAGATATTACTGGAAAAAAGAGGAAAAATTATTACAAAATGAATAAAAATTTAATATTGTATGACTATAACTTCTGAATGTATTTAAGTATTATCCTGAGATGGAAAAAAGTAGACCTTGGCAGAATACAGCTGGAGTAAGCAGATGTATCACACCAAGACGAAGCGCAAGGTTAATCACCGGCAGCAGTAGCGGGGCCTGGACGCGGGTCACACCGATGGAAGTCTTAAATGAGCAATCATCTCGACGTAATACTAACGAAGTCTATGGGTAGGACAATATCTCTAGGAATGAGGGGGAGTGGTTTAGTCTGTGCGAGTCGGGCACTCACTTTCCGGGGTGCCGGATTGTGGTCAGTGCGTAAGCATTCCACTCCTACTTATCGCAAATCAATAAAAAAAAATGTATTTATTTATAAAAATATAGACTAAAAATTGATATATAACAAAGTTGTTTGAATAAGTCATTTTGGAGATATTGTTGATTTTTGACTGTAAGTCTTTTTAGAGCAGATCTCTCTTTGAAATGATATTTTTTAAATCTTGGAACAAATAATTATCTTGTGTGTTTATGCTATTGTAAGATGAAACATTCTTTATGTATATTATCTGACTCTTTGTTGAAGTATAAAATTAGTTTTTTTTTATTAATAATAATTTTGCAGTTTCAATTTCAAGGATAATTGCAGCAAAGAAATAAGATTGTGGTCAGTGCGTAAGCATTATAAATTATATCTGTCCATTGAGTTTCTAGAATGCAATCAGTTTTAGAC